TAAATTTTACATAACGGTTGAGCACCATTACGATCATTATCTAATTAATTGAGTGTGCTACTTGAGAACACCCTTAGATGCTTGAGATTAGCCTAAGCTAGATGATTTTTAGGGTGTCAGTCTTTGATAAAATAAGCATTATAGAATTTCGAATCTAAAGTTATACGCACTTGGATCCTAACCTAATTGTCAAAACAATAAGGTTTTATGATCCATTGCATACTTTTCTTAAAATTTGATTTATGATATACCGTACTAAATTTAGTAAATTCAGCTGTGCAGTTTCAAACAGCCTTAAATCTTTTCTTGGATCATAACAATAAAAATAAATCATGGAAATTACCGGCTTATTTGTATTTATCTAAAAAGTAAAAGTGCGAAGTGATTATATAAATGCTTATTACTTCGCACAAATTTTAATAAATTTTGAAGTTACGCTTTTCAAATGGATTAATTAAAAATCATGCAAACAAGACCTGTATTTACCATGTATCCTGATAAGACAGGAAAAAAATTTACACAGTATAATAATTTAGAAGAAGCAAGTTTATCTAACACCACTTTACCTGATTTAAATTATATTTTATCTAAACCCGTTTTGAAGTGTATTTCATCTGATGATGATGACTTAGCTATTACTTCATCTCAATATATCAAGGGAAAAATAAACGATTACTAATTGAAGATGATGATACTGATAGCAAATAGACTGATTCGGCTATTAAATTGTTGCTTGTTTATTATCTGAAAATTTTTCCTATTATTGTAAAAACAAAGAAAAATTTTATGCAAGGGCTGCCTTGCATATAGGTGGTAAATCAAATTTACAAGTTCGTGGAAAACTACAAGGTCTAGTTAGAAAATATTCTGATGAAAGTAAAGAAAAGACAGGCAAAGGAACCTCAAAATGGCCCTATTATTCTTTAATGAATAAGATCTTTGGAAATCGTGAGAATGTTCATCCAGAAACTTTGGTTGATAGCACTGGAAAGGTATTTATATATTTAAAAATTACAAATATATTTAATATATATTTGTTTGATCTTGCTGCATACAACTTATTTTCTATTTAAAACTTAGCATTGTAGCAATAATATCGGTAATGAAAAAATTCAACATGGAAAAAAACCCAAACTAAATGAGAATAATTCAGCATATAATGAATCCGTGGCAACTATTAGTGAAAGTAAGAAGTTGTCAGCTAAGAGTAGAAGGCAGTGGAATGAAGCTCACTCTAAAATTGAGCATGATAAACTTAAAGCAGAAAAAGATTATAGAGAAGGGGATCTAAAATTACGAAATTTAGAGTATGAACTAAAAAAAAAGAAGTTGATACTCGGATTAAAATTGAAGAAGAAAAATTTGAATTCAAAAAATGAATGAAAGAGCATTTTGAACAAAAATTAAAAGAATTAGAGTTAAGAGTAAAAGAATTAGAAATAAACTATAAGCATAGTGAATCTAATATTAAAGTACATAAAGCATAAACTCTATATACGTAAGATGCCCTATCCTAATTAAATAAGCATATATACGTTTAAAATATAATGTATATGAAATTTAATACAGTTTTAATAAAATATTTTTAAATAACTTCAAATACCTTATAGTTTATTTATTGAATGATATATTTTTACCATTTAAATACTAACATGAATTTTTATAGCCAAAACTCTCGTGATTTAGTGATCAGATCTGCATCATTTTTTAAAGTATGTTTGCAGCGATCACAGATCGGAATTTTGGGTTTACTAATCCCCATATCACTTACTTCTAGCATCAAAATTTTAAGATTGCGAATATCTTGGGCAATTTTGGTAGTAACATTTTTAGTGGTATTTATAACTGTCACTTCCTGTCCAATTTGGTCATAAAATCCCCAAATAGTCTCTTATGTATTAAAAGCGTCTCCAAAATCATAAGCCCGAATTTGGTCAGCACTTTTGAAAGAATTCATGACAAACAAGCAAGAATAAAAAGATGATGCCCAAAAAAATAAAGAATGATGAGATAATTATTATAAGGAAGAGCAAGCGAATAAAGAATGGTTAAAAAAATATTTAGCAGGTGAACTTGATTGGCAAAAGGACCAAAAGAAAAAGGATGAAGAAAATAAAAAGAAACTTGACAAATATAAAGAAAATCTAAAAAAGATGATAAAGCGTTTGATGAGAAAAATAAGAAAAAATATAATGCCGATATTGAAATGGACCTAATAAAAAAAAATGTCTCAGGAGAACAATTAAGTAAAAAATTAGGAGTTGGTGATTGAAGAGTAAAAATTAATGAGCCTCTGATTCATGAGAAGCTAGTCAAGTAAAAGAGAAAGATGAGAAAAAGAACCAGGAATTTGCCGAATGATTAAATAAATTGAAAAAAGAGCATGCCAAATAAATCCTTAACCAAGTCAGAATTGTTGACTGAATTAGAAAAAAGATTGCCCAATTTTACTTCTGATGAATTTCGGACTTTAATGAGTTTGCTGGTAAATATCAAACCGAATTCCTAAAAGTAATTCACCAGGTTGATCTAGAAGTTCACCAATGCATCCAAGAAAATGTCCAGAAAAAGAAAGAATTCAGCAAGGCTTCTACAACCACTTTACTGGCTCTTTAGAACCATTAAAAAATTTAAAATGATTAGATGTTTCTAATACTGATCTTGATTCTGGCCTAGAATATTTGCTGATTAACATAGAGATCTATTGTTCTACTAGTCATAGACCAGAAAGCAAGTAAAAAAACTCACTAAACAACTTGAACTTATTAATGAAGACCAAGATTTGATTTGTAATTGTTATTCCGTAAAAGTTAAATGTTTATTTAAATATTTCTTCTTACTCATTAATACTAGTTCTCACTAAATAAAAAAACACTTCAGAAGCTCTTTATTCGGCAGTTTATCTTGAATCATTTTATCAAAACTGAAATAAACATATATGAGAGGACAGCTAAGTGGGGACTAAAATTTTGGCTTTATTTTTTAATATTGTAATTTTGTTATAAGCTGCTATAAAAAATTTTGTTGCAGAATTTGCTATACTAATAGCAATAGTATGCAGTTAAGGTTCAATATTAACTTGATTTTTTTTTTAAATCACTTTCTCGGAACAGTATTGAGTATATATAGCTATTTCTTCTTCAAAGAGCAGTGCAGAGATACACAGCTACTAACTTAGTGAAGGAAGTATGTAGCGTTGATTCTCACTTTTCCGAAACCTACATTCCCAAAATATCATTCTATAATTCTGATATCCTCATTAAAATTTATTATCAATTAAATAATATTTCGGTAAAATGAGACTTTAGAATTATGTCTTGTTAGTAAAATGGGATATCAGTATTATGACATCGGTGAAATGGTATTTCAGTAAAATTGATTTGGGAAGTTAACCCATAACCTAAAATACTTACGTATAACATTTTAAAGAAAATTCCGTATTAGAGTTTGGAACCAGTTTTATTTTTCATATGCTAAAACCGATTAAAACCGGATTTAACGTATGAAAAATAAAACTGGTTTAAACTCTATTTCGTATTACCTATCTAACATGTTATGTGACAAAAAAACAAATCACATAGTACAAGAGTGTATTGTTCTATTTTTAGAGATCTACATATACCTGTGATTTATGTCCAACCATAATAAGAAACGCCCAGATATTGTTAATATCCATAATGAATATGGCTATATTTTAGTACTATAGCGGGTATGGATGCTATTTAGGGTTCCGCATAGGCTGGGCTAGGCTGGGTATTTTGATATCCAGATCCAGCCCATTAAAAAAATATACCAAATATCTATATCCAAATCCAGCCCATATTTAATTGGATAAATCCAAACCCGGCCAATAACCACATAGTACTATCCAAATTCAGCCCATAGATCCATATATTTGTTTACAGTAAATAAAGCATAATAGCTTGCTTAAGTTACATTATTATCCTAAGTTTCAAATCTTTTGTTGAAAAAAATATTTTGAATTTATCTGTTCCGAAATTGTAGTATAGATGAGATTGAACTGTTAAAATATAGATTATAATTTAGCTTTTACAAAAAAATCTTTGAAACTAAAATTATTATTGCCGATAATTATAATTGCAAATTTTTTTTAAGCAATTAATATTTTATTTGTATTGCATATATAGTAGTCTAAAAGCTACTTTAACATAACAAAATTACATGCTACTTAGACAATTAATTTCTTTGTCAACCAATTTCCTTGACAAATTAATGCTTCAATAGTATCTGGATCTAAATTAATATGATTATTATCAATAATTCTACCAGCTAAACTAAAAATTTGCTCTGATGACACACTTGTTGCCGGAATAGCTAAAAAATCTTTAGCCATCTTAGATAAGTTTAAAAATCGATGATAATTTGATTTCCACCAATCAAGTGGCCTTACATTTTTTGAAATTGTTGGTTTATACAAATATTGATGAACTTCATAAAGATTATTTGCATTTTGATATAATCATTTAGATGCATATTGATAATAGTCTTCATCAAATTGATAATCAGAATTGGTTAAGTTGCCTTCATTACTTTCAATAGAAGTATTAATATATAAATGGTGATAATAAAATCTAATATAAATTTCTTCAAATCTATAAAAAAAAATAAAAATAATTAACATTTATTATAGTATAAATTATAATTTATATAGTATTATATTAAATAAAAACTTACTTTGATTGAAAATCCATTATAATTTTTTCAGTAGCTTATTGAGATGATTTTTCTTTTTGTTCATAATAATATCTGAACTACTTCAATTTATAGCATGGTCAAGTATACATGCAGTTATATATAGCATGTTTGTTTCTTTCCAGTACTTGTTAAATTTTTCAGTCATTGAATTAGCAAATTCACAAATAAATATGCCAGATTTAGATTTCATTTGTTGCAAATGTAATTTGATTTTAAAAATAATTACAATTGTTAAGAGTAATATAACTTATAAACTTCCGGATATTAGTTCAGTACTTTAATAAAATAAATTAATTATTAAAATAAAAAAAACCATATAATTAAAATAAAATTAAATTATAATTACATTCATAGAAAATTTTAAGTCCATCTCGAACTAAACTTGCTTGTTCCCATTTATCTTCAGATAGTAAATCTGGAAAATTTTGGTTTCTATCTTTAAGTTTAATTAATGCTAATTTAACTCTAATTGCAGAATTCAACATATGAAAAGTAGAATTCCATTGTGTAATACAGTCAAGTGGAGGTATAATTGTATTGATAACTTCATAATTATAGGCATCAATAAAAGCTTGATGATACTTTGGTGAAGTATGGATTGCTTTAATATAATCATAGACCTATATTAAGGAGTAGTTCACAGTTAAAAGGGTATAAAATACAGTGGGCATTTTACTATATCTTTCATATAGTAATGGAATGCCAAACATTTCTGCGAATAAGGGAAAACCATATAGTAAAAAAGAAAAAAGTCTTAATATCTTGTGATTTACACAACCAATTTTAATGATTTTATTATCATTAGAATAGTAATAACATGTTCTACAACTTTAATTAAAGATTCAAAAGATGCTTACTTAGTAAACAAAATACTTTTCACTGAATGAATTGACATTCCACTACTATAAAAAATTTATAATAAGTTCTAACTATTATACTTAGTAATGATTATACCCTTTAACTGTGAACTACCTCTTAATTATTATTAAAATGTAATTTTATTAAATAATAATATTAAATAATTATAATTATATACAGTATTTAATATTTATCTTTTTAATAATATTTGAAATTTTTTTAATACCATCTTGAATAATAAGATTTATAACATGTGCAAGACAACAGTTTTGAAAAAGTTCACATTGAAATCAACTGAAAGAGATATAAGATATTTCTTGAGTTCTTGAATAGCAACATTGTTTGAAGAAGCATTATCAAGTGTTATAGTTTGTAACTTTAAAAAATATAATTTTAGCTTTAAATTAAATAATAATAAATAATAAATAAAAATTTATACTTTTGTTGTAATTAAAAACTTATCTATACTATCTTTAATTGAATTTGCAATATTTATTTCAGTATGTGGAAAATGTATTAATTTAAATGACATTAGAAAGCTTACAAGCTCCCAATTATCATTTATAAAATGTACTGTAACTGAAATATAACTAAGCTGTTGTTGTGAGGTTCAAATATCTGTTGTTAAAGATATTTGGCTAGAGATATTTTGAAGAATATTTTTAACAAAATTCTTTCGATCTTGATAAAATTTTAAACTATCCCTTTTAATAGTATCAGCACTGCAAACTTTAAAATCAGGTCGTAATCTGAAACAAACTTTAAAAATCCAGTATGTTCAACAAATTGGAAACTTAATTCATCTCTAATAATCATATTGACTCGACTCCTTTCTTCAGAATAAACCTAACTTTTAGCTTGGTTTGATGTATATTGCATTTGATTGTCTTTATCATGATGATCATCTAAAGAGCTTGATCCGGCAATAGTTATTTTATATTTCTTACAAGTTTTTAAGTGCTAATGTAAGTGTGAAGTGCCTGAAGAACGTTTATGAGAAAATTTTTTTTCACAATGATTGCATTTTGCCTTATTTGGACTAGAATTAGCGAATTTTATCAAAGTAAAATTATTCCAAACTGCGATGTAAACTTTTTATTATTGATATGAGCTTCAATATTAGATATTTCTTGGCTTGATGTAGAATCGCTTGACACAATTGAATTATTATTAGTTTCCATGAGAAATTTTTGATTAAGGTAAAAAGAAGTTAGGTATAATGCTTTATTATTATTGTTATATATATATATGATTAATTTACTGATCTAAACTTTGTGTACGAATCATTAATATATAAATATGTTAGTAGAAAAATAAAAGTATGACATGTATATGTTGTGCCCCAAATGAAAATCGGCCCAGTTGTCAATTGGGCTAGCCCAGATGACAATTTGAATTTGGGC